TGTATATATATATTTCATATAATCACTCATTTATGTTGTGGTTTATATAATAAATTACTGTTGGTCCATGTTTATTATTACCCCATCTTTTCAAGACTTCATTGAACATTTCTTATTCCTTCACTCCCTCATCCTCCCATAATAACCTCTGCAGTCCTGGTGTTTTAATAAGTTCAGTAATGTGTTTTTATAATAATGTGGTCTCCCCTAAATAAAACTACCTAAAATATTGAAAAATGCGTGACGTCCATTTGCATCTGCTCTGATTTTACTGTGACTAGTTTGTCCTTTGCATTCCAATGAAACAAGTGTAATGTCTTTCAACTTTGCAGACAACATCTGGGGAAGATGTGCGGGACTTCACAAAGGTGCTGAAGAACAAGTTCAGGTCAAAGAAATACTTTGCCAAACACCCTCGCCTTGGCTACCTGCCAGTCCAGACAGTTCTTGAAGGTGACAACTTAGAAACGTAAGTTAGATTTTAATATCATATCATCTGTAGACTCTTAACATCAGTTAATGGCTCTAGGAAAATTGTTTAATACAAAAAACACTTACCTTCTTAAAATCTTTCCATTTTTTAAATAAAATTTTTTATTTCAGTAGTGATTTTAATGAAAGCTTTCAGAAAAGTTAGGTTTTCATTCATTCATTGTTGTGTATTTTTACACCCTCTTCTCCCTTCCCACCCCCAATTTATTTTTTTACCATATTCACTCATTGTTGTACCATTATCTCCTACCTCCAGTCCTCTTTGCAGTATACCTCTTATTCTCAGCTGTTAATGTATGTATTATGCCTAATCATATAGTCCTTTTAAACAGTTCTTTCCTTTATCTGTTCCAGTGCAGTGTTCATTATCTGTCCACTCTTATCCTATTCTCCTAAACTCCCATGTCAGACCTACTTTATAACAGTGTGGCTCTGCACTATTTGTCCTTTTGTGACTGAGATATTTCCATCAGGAAAAAAATCTTTCCTTTTAATAAAAATAAATTAAAGTAGCAACAGTCTTCACAGCAAGGATTTTTACTATGTGCCCTCGACAATATCAGACCCTAAAATAACTTTAGATAAGGTCCTGAAGTTTAAAACATATATTTTTATTGGCTATCAATGTCCTTTTTAAAAACTACTAAAGCAAACTACAGTATTATATTTGCTTTATTATTTTACTATTTTTTCCATTCCCCTCTTCCTGATGTGTGTAACTAACTACTCTTAGATTTTGTGCCCTTTTTGCCACTCTTCAGTATGAATCTATTAATAATACTGAGAAATTTCTTGCATATATTTATGCCAAAATCTCATAAGAATAGCACATTACTTTTCAAATCTGTGTTTCTCCTTGAAGATAAAGACAGCAAAATTGAGATAACTTTGAATATTCTATAGACAGTTTTCTTAGAAGTACATAATTTAAGTTGCAATGAGGAAAATTTAAAGAGCAAACTAGCATTAATACAGGGATATAATTTTGTATTTTAAAATAATTAGTTATCATTCGAAAGAACTGCAATTTCCTATCTTCAAATTACTCTTTAAAATGTTAGCATAAATATTTCTATCATGGCAACTTCCTTGAACATAAGTCTTGAAGATACTGAGCTTTTCTGACTCGTCACCACCAGAATGTCAGCCTGCAGAGCCTGAAGAAATTGTAGTTAAAGGGAGAATTGCCTTCAAGTTGAGCACAACACATAGCAGCCCTATGAAAAAAAGGCCTGAAGCCCCTCTACAACTATCGACATTTATCAAAGTTCATAGAGTTTCAGGAGGCATGTTATTTCGGAAGTTGATGCCACTCCTGCAAAATTTTCTGCTTTAGGCGGTAAAGAAGATTAGAATAAGAAATACATAAAGTGTGTCAAGTAAAACAGGAGCCCTGGTAAACCACTGTAGTAAAGCATGTGACTGTTTAACCAGAACATTAGTGGTTCAAACCTACCAGCAACTTCTTGGAAGAAAGATGTGATAGTCTACTCATGTAAAGGTTTACAGTTTGAGGGGAGCTCTGGTGACCTAGTGGCAAGGAGCTGCAACTACAATCCCAGAGGCTCACGGTTTGAATCCACCAGATGCTCTGCCGGGGAAGGAGGGACAATCTCCTCCTGTACCAGTGAGATCTGATTTGACGGTACACTCACACACAAAAATAATAAAATAAAAAAAATAAAGGTTTACAGTTTGAGAAATCCTTTGCACATATCTGCTGTCTCTTTGCAAGATCGCTGTGTTGAAACGGACTTGATGGAAATTGTATAGGTGGATTGAGTACAATTATTACGAAGCTAAATTCTCTCAATGTCATTAAATCAGAACTGACTCATAGCTGACTCTCCAGCGAGTTTTTGGAGGCTGTAAACCCCACGTGAAGAGATTGTCCGTCTTCCTCCCACAGAGCAGCTGGTAGATTCAGACTGACTCCTGTGGGTTATCCGTGCAGCTCCCTACAGACTACACCACCAGGTGCACCAGCTCTCAGACTGAGGCACCAGAGCTGTGAAGCTAAACTTTGTCTACTCTTTAAAATACTTTGCTTCAGTTTTGTTGATGACAAATATATCAGACAATAGTATATTCCAATGACTTAATTCTGTACCTCAAAATGTGAAATTAGAGGGGTAGATTCTTTAATTTGATTTCCTCCCACCCAGCGCAACCCTTAGAGAATGCCTAAAGTCTTGGGGCTTTGTCAAAATTATGTACAAATGCATCTGTTTTATTTGTGGAGCTGCTAGAACCTTGACCCACAACAGACAAAGCATAATTGGTATCTTTATCCCTCTGTAGGTAAAGTTACGTAGATGCACATGAAAAGAAATACGCATACGTAAAATGATCCATATAATACACATACACATTTAGAGCTTAAGAAAAAAAATCACTTGTTCAGAAGTATGCTTGATGTCAAGCTGTCTGAGAATAAGAAATCGGCCTTCCTAACTCTTTCCCCCTTAACACTCATTAGAACATAATTTATTTCATCTATTTCACTCTAAAGAGAAAAATTTTTAAAAATCTTAAAATCTGTATGAAAAGATAGCTTTTTGGTCCTCTTTTTTTCTCTGAGTATATGTGTAAGTTCTTTTCTTCAAAACATTGCATCAGGATACATTTTTGTTGACTTTAATATTTTTCAAATCGTTTAATTGTGCTGAATACCTTTTGTAAAGATAAAATTGTGCTTTCCTGGATATCAGATAAGTTAACCTTTGGAGTAACTGGCTCCTGAAGCATAGAATTGTCACAGGCTGCTTTCATTTAAGGGATAATTTAATAGACTTGAACTAAGTGAAGTGCCTTTAATGCTTTTGGTGAACTATCACCATTTTATAACCTCAGTATATTCCTTCATATGAGTTTTGCAGATAGAATTTTTACAGACATTTTCAATAATTTGCCTTTCAGTGTCAAAATTATCATTGATGTCAGCCATTGTACTCTGAGCGATTCTCTTCAAAGCTTGACAGAAAAGATGTCAAATGATTTGTGCCTTGATTTTGGGGGGGATATGACTGGAAATGCCTCAACCCCATCTAATGTGAACTTACCAGCATTTCCAGTAAAAGGAAAAATGAAAGGATCAGATGCTACAAAGATCCTTAGTGAAAAAGATTTATGAGCTCCTGGATACCGTGGGCAGATTGTCTGCTTTTTTGAATCCTAGCAGAACCCACTGCCCTCAGTTGAGTTCATTTTTCTACTGAGCTCTTCTGGTACAGGGCCACTTAATCTCCTGGTGTTAACAATTGATGTGAGTGGGAAGTAAAGAATTTGATTTCCTTTCTTCTTCTGTTTGTGGGAGGAAAACACTGGAGAAAAATCAGGGAAGTGGTAAATGTGTTAGAGTTATTTATGATGTTGATTAGAGTTCTCTTCTTCTTTCTCTTTCATCCTTGCGAAATGTGGTATCTTATCCTCTGTCCAGTAATTACACAAGCATGGGACAGATAAATGGGGGATGTTGAGTTCTTGCTAAAAGAAAGTAAACAAGCGGATACTAAGTCTTGTTCAGTTAATTTTGTAATGGCTTCTGTATGTTTTCTCTAAAATAAAATAATTGAATAGGACTTGATAAAAGAGTGTTATGTGCCATTGACAGTCAACTTGTGAAACAGGCCACAAGAGTATGAAAAACAATTTGAGAGCTGTGATAGATTGTTATTAGCTAATAAAAAGAGTTATATCCCTAAAAGTTTAAGGAAGTAAAAGAGCTTTTTCTTAATACTGATTAAGTTAGAATAGATGAGTTTCATGGTTGTTTTTAAGTTCTTGCTGTAGGCAATACCTAATTCATAGTGCATGTACAGGTAGAGAGAGTGCTGGACAGAGAGAAAGTGGTAACTAAATACATCTGGAAGATGAGTAGAAACAAATATTGAGTGTTTGGTGTTGCGGAGGGAGAGATTGCAGGTTAAGGAAGCAGGGTAAAAAGACCTGAGGCAAAGGTAGTTGTGGAGGTAGAAAGCTGAACAGAGAAGGACAAGAAAGAAGAGGGGAAAAAAATCAAGAGTTGGATTGTTAGGGTCCATGGGAAGGCTTTGCAATTTGTCCTGAGAGCAGTGGCTGGCCATTGAAGGTTAACAGATAAGGCACTGCGGGAATCCTACTGAACTTTGATGGATTCCAGAAGGCAAAAGACCAAAACCACGAAGACTAGTCAGGTGAGAACCTAACATCTTAAAAGGATTGAAAAGTCTTTCAAAGAAAGGCTGGGTTCTAGTCTCCATGATACCAGATGTAGTTGGTAGAGTCTGAACCTTTGCTTATTAGTGAATCTAGTGTGATTAACCAAAACATCCCGCCAAGGATGGTGAGTTTATGATGTGTTAGGTGTGAACCAGCACACAGACTGATTTTCTTGTCCCACTGATAGTTACAGCTTCTAACTATGCCCTGAGGATATAGCCTTGGGTTCTGTTATTGATTGGTTGGGGGCTTTGTACAAACTGAAATACTCTGATGTCAATGAGGCCTAAAATTTAATTTTTCGTCTTTGTTTCTTTTCTTAGAAATTTTATGACATACATCTTTTTAAAGGTCCTTCTGAGCATCTCTGCCCTCCAGCTCCTTTCCCCTGCCATTCTTATCTTAGTTCAATGAATCACTTCTGTGTTCTTGGAATTCGCTTCACAAGAACCAGTCAAGCAGTTTAACAAAGCTTTTCCAAGTCCCTATTAAGGGAAATATACACTTCCCCCCTCTTTTTTTTACTTCATGAGAAGTGTTGCAATTCACTTGGATTTTAGAAATAATCTCTAAAGTAGTTTCTATTTTTAGAAAGTGTCTTTAAAAAAGTCATTCCTTTGACATTTAACAGGTATATTCCAGAGCTAATGGAAAATAGAAATGTGAAAAGCAAAACTATTGAACAATGCTGTTATTTTACTATGTTCTACATGTATAACCAATTGCCATTGAATTTCTTTCAGACTCTTGGCAACCTGAGAGTGTTAGAATAGAACTGTATTCTGAAGGGTTTTAAAGGGGTGATTTTTTTTTTTCTTCCTTAAGCAGTCAGCAGGCTTTTCTTCCAAGGTGCCTTTGGAGGGACTTGCCCCTCCAATATTTCTAGTAACGGCCATGTGTTTTAACCATTTGTACCATATAGGGTCTCCTCATGTGAGTCGCAAAGGAATTGATGGCACATAACAACAACAAACAACAACAAGGGGCTCCTATCTATGGATAATAAAGCTGTTTAACTAAAAGCCTGGTTTTGAAAGCAAAACTCAAGCATATTTCATTCTTCATCCCACGAAGATAGTCTTATCTCTAGTTTTTGCCAACTAGAGATCAACTTGGCCTTCACCGTTGGCAGTGATAAGATCATGATAACTTTTCCCTTGATATAAATATATTGGAAATAGGAGAATCTTGTAAGTCTGCAATAATTCAACTGTTCCTCTTTGCTTCAGTCAGCATGAATCTTTTTGCAAGAGACTTTAATATTTTTTTTCCTTAAATGTAGACAATGTTCTTTATACTTTTGAATGTCCATGTGCATCAGTGCCCCTTTCTCTCAAAAAAGGAAAAAGGATTTGATTTGACTTTTTTAAAAGATCAGTTGTTTTCAAGATTTATTGTTTTGAGACTTTGGGGTTCCTGGGCAGTGTATAAAGTTGGGATGCTCAGCACTGAGATGATTCTAAATGCTCGAGTGCCTCGTCCTCTTGATTCTAGTAGAATTCAGTTTCCCTTTATCAGTTTCAGGCATTGCACTTCTGTTCATTTCGTTTCTATGTACCATCTTGTGTGAGCAACTTGCTTTGTGATTCATTTCAACTCCTTGATGAAGTTCCTATCTAATGGCATCTAGGGGAGGGTGTCAATGTTGCATAGTCTTCTAAATGTACTCGGCAGAAAGAGTCCCAATACATACCCCCCTGTGAGGCCGATATACTTCTTTGTCCGTGTAGGTTTCCATAGAGCATAGTTTTAATTTTTGTATTTAAATTGGTTGGAGAATAATCATTTTAAAAATATTTTCATTTTATTGCAGCTCTGTCCTCCCTTTGCAAGGTGATCTTTAGTATTGAACTTTTTCTCTCTGACACGATTTTCTTTTTCTCTAGAAAAACCAGGATTATGACTGAATCTCTCATTGGTATATTATGAAATACTAGAAGATTTCACAACTTGCAGCCAATTTTGAGAATTCTAGTCCCTATTTTCATTCAGACTGTTTAAAGATGTTTGCATTCTGTAATGTCTCCTGTAATGTTTGGGGAAAGGACCCTGCAGACCCTTGACTACACACCATCTCTTCTAGAATAAGCCCTGAATTGTTACTTTGGATTCTCCCATCGTGGCCCTCACAGCACCATACATTTGAGTGAAAATCAATGGAGAATAGCCCTCGTGGCCCATTTGTCGTAAATGGCTCTAAAGTGTTTGTTCTGTGGCTTTTGTTTCCCTCTCCCCCTCCGCAGTCCTATCACCCTCATCAGCATGTGGCCGGAACACTACGAGTGAGTATCCGCTTCCCCGTGTGCAGAAGGCGAATGTTCTCCTCTGTGTGGTTGGCATGGGGGTGATTACTAAACTCTTCTTCTGAAATAACAGCTCTGCATCCTGGGTAGCAATCCTAGTGGTTTCTTTGCATGGCAAATTCAGAATTTCCTAAGCTAAAACGTCCAGTAGCAACATCTGTCAGCAGTTGAGCCTAACACGGTTGCTTTGTGTTCCCTTTGCAGCCCCTCCCAGTCTCCTCAGCTGTTTCATGACGATACCCATTCCAGAATAGAGCAGTACGCCACCAGGTGAGGCACCCCGAGAGCGGCCGCCGCTGCACAGCCAACCAAGCGGCATCTCTTTCTGTAACATCTTACAGCATCGTTCTATTGTTGTTGTTGTTGTTGTTAGGTGCCATCAAGTCAACTGAGACTCACAGTGATCCTGTGAACAGTGGCTCTGGACCCTGCCCTGTCCTGAGCCAACCTCACCATCTCCGGCACATCTGACCCCAACAGGCCTTATTTTAAGAATATTTGTTTTGTGTAGTCACGACTCCATTCTTTTAGAATCTGGGTTCTCATCTTCTCACATTGTGGTTTGCACTTTACCAAACACCTGCTATATATATATTTTTCTTCTGTGAAGAGTTATCTCAATGAAATGTGATTATTGAACTCGTGAGAAGCCACACACTAAACAAACAGAATTTAGGTCTTGTAACCCAGTTTTAATGAATGAAAGTAGGGATGAAAGATTCTCAATAGATGGTGTACCTATGAATTACAATATCTTATTGAGTTAATGTCAATACTTTCTTCTACGGGTTTATTTTAGAGTCTCTCAAATAGTATAAAATATTGGATGATCTTAATGATAGCCATAAAAATGTCAGTAAAGATGTATAGGCTGGGCATCTTTGGTAAATAGTAATAAACCAGCTATTATGTATAGTTGCCAGCTTGGAGAAGGAATGATGCTGGGAAGTGGTGGAAGGTCGGTGAAGGAGAGGACAACTCTGAAGTAGGTGGATTGACACAGTGACTACTGCAGTGGGCTCTTGCATGTCAGGAACTGTGAACATGGCACAGGACAGAACAGGGTTCAGATTTTTTGTTCACAGGGTCTCTGTGAGTCAAACTTGACTCGATGGAGCCTATAACATAATTAAAAAGTGAGTGCAGGCAGTAGTATTCATAGTAGATTTTTAAGTACAATTTCTGGGGAAAGCAGGCTAGGTAGAGCTATTGGGGGAAAAAAAATAATTTCCAAAGGCATTGAGTTGGGAAGTAACATAGCTTGTTGAGGAACTGCAAGCAGGTAAAGGAGTAGAGGTGGGAGAGGCTACAGCTGGATGGGGAAGAATCCATTTGCTAATTTAGAGAAAGAAAGAGTGGAAGGGTTTTAAGCTTTGAGAGGAATGTAATCAGACACGCGAGAAGTTAACTTTTGCTTCTGTGGACGGCACAGAGCAAGATAAACAAGATGAAGGAAAATATCAGTCAAGAAGGTAGGTCACATTGGGTCATGACACATGTCAGACAAACACCTACAGTGAGGCCCTGGTGATAGCTTCAGAATTAGGTATTTTCATTATAAAATATTCTTAGGAGTTTTGTGCTTCTCTGTGGCTTTTCAGAATTAAGACAATTTAAGAATGACGGGGATGTGCTTCTAGTTGATTATCCCTTTGGGGGCTACCTTTCCTAACGTCTTTATTCTCACTTTCCAGATTGGCCCAGATGGAAAGGACGAATGGATCTTTCCTCACTGACAGCAGCTCTACCACAGGAAGTGTGTAAGTAATTGAGGAAATTCGCCCTGCTTGAGAAGGCTAGTGCTGGAATTAGGACTGTCGGAAATAATCTTCCTTCATTCTGGTTCTGAATTTTGATCCCAATCAAAATTGATAAGTGTGGTTGCTAAAATGTCCACACAGATTATATGCTTCCAAGCCATGATAGTGTAAATTGGATATGTTTATTTTCTTAGTTCATGAATTCATTAAATCTTGTATTTGCGAACCAATCTACCTTAATAAAGTCAGGTTGTTTCTTTTATAATGGTAGCTATGTATATGCTGTGATGCTAAACACTGTGACACTAATGTGTCAAATGTGAGAATGGTTACCCATGGTGGACAGTGTTTGGTGGAGCTCCCCAATTAAAACAAGCTTGGAAGCAGGAGTGGCTTCCACTTCCAAAATAGCTCACCTCCAGAAACGCTATGAACTTGGAGAAACGATGAAAATGATACAAGTGTTCAGGTCTTTCTATTCAGTAGGGTCACTATGAGGCGTCTACAACTCGACGGCACGTCTTTGTCTGATATTGTTAATTTAGTAAATGTGATTCCACAGAATTCATTTCTTGTTATAAAATCCTCTCTTCTGCTTACTGTTCTCCATAGTCCCTCCACTTGAAGTGTATGACCCATGCAAAGGTGGACATAAACTCCTGATCTTTACTGAGAAGTCTAAACTTTTATAGTAAAGTTTTATTTTATTATCAACTTTAAAAAGCTTCATTGACCTTAGAATATTTTTTTTTTAATTTAGGTTGTTTATTTTTCATTTCAATGAACATCTACAGAGATTTTGGGATTCCATTCATTCATTGTTGCACCCTTCTCCCCACACAAACCCTCCCCCCCACCCCCCTTTCTCCCTTTCCTGAAAAGCAAAAGAAAAACTCCCTCATTGGTACACAATCCCCATACCCCCAAATATAATCCACTCTGCTACCCTCATTGCATACTCCTACGATAAAAATAATGCCCTAAAATATAATACTTTTAGACTATTCTCTCCCCCATAGTAGAATATTTTTTAAAAACCTTCCTAGTGTTGTATTTTATCTAGTGTTTCCTCATCATTGCATGTCAACTTGATTATCTCCTATTATCCCACTGTTTGTATGTGAACTTAATTTTGGACATTATTTTCCCCTTTTTCCATGAAGCTACCAGTTTTTGTTCTGATTCTAAAAGACTTCAATATTACCACCTCTGCTTGATTCGTGCAGGTTCATTATGGTTTGCATTCAGTGGGAAGGTGCAAAACAGAATGTTTTTGGAAATAGCACTTAGATGTTTTATATTGAGACCAGGAAGAGTGCCAATTTGAAGTACTTTAAATTCTTCAACTAAGAAAATTTCTTTCAATATAATTTTAAATGGTTTTCTTTATTGCCAAACTTTTGAAAGTTATCAGGAAATTTTTCAGTTTTCAATTTCTAAGATTAGCATATTCATTCTTTAACAATATTACTGTGTCCAGCCATCTTTTTAAGAATATCCTTGTATTTTGCAGACTTTGGGATGTGTCACACATTATATCCTTCTGTAGAGACTAGGGTCTCCTGATAATGTCTCCCCACGGTACGTGAGACAAAGCCTCACCATCCATACTTCTAAGATAATACATTTCTTCCAAGATTTGTTCATTCATCTGGGATCTCGTGATGTTCATTCCTTTTCTCTAACACTATAATTCAAAGGCAGTCTTCTTTATGCTTTGGTTAGCTTTCATATGCATTTGTTGTTGTTATTGTTGTTGTTTTTATGTACCTCCCTGTTGCAACTGAACTTATAACTGGCCCTCCAGCTGGTTTTCAGAGGCAGTTTATTCATACAGGAGAAGACTGCCCATTTTTTTTTCCTGAAGAGTAGCTGGTGGATTTGAACCACATGCCTTTGGGTTGGCAGCGCACCTCCTTACTGCTATGCCACCAGAGCTCCCAACATGCATATGAGGTACTTGAAAATACTATGACTTGGTGAGATGCATCTTAGTCCTCAAGGAGACGTCTGTTTTTTAACACTGCTGCTCCATTTCCAATTATTCATGTAGAACAGCTTCTTGGGTTAACATTCAACCTACAGATTGAATAAGGATAGCTAAAGTATGGTATAATTCTGAGGTACACCTTTTCTTATTTTAAACTATACAACATATCCTTGTTCTCTTCTGAAGTCTTCCAATTACTCTATCTACAATTTCTACATAAGTACAATTAAGAGTTCTATAAGTCCAATCTTTTTTTTTTTTTTTTTTTTGCTTAATTTGTGACAACTCACATGATCTAATGCTTTTTTTCCATAGTCCATGAAACAGAAGTGATTCTCTTTTGGATGTTTCATTTGTTTTGCAATCTCTGTGACTTTTCTATCACCAAGGTAATAGTTCTCAACTACTGATCTTTCATCCTTTTTAACTTTCACATTCCATTTACCTATAATTATCACTACATCTTGATTCATGTTTGATAAATTTCATAAATTGGTAAAAAACTTCAATTACTTTGTGTCATTAGAATAAACCTTTAAATTTGAATAACAGTCATATTAACAGAAATGGATATTGTCCTATCTGGGACAGCACTGAATTTTCAAATAAATCCTGAATTACTCTTTTTGATGATGAATGTGACACCTTTCTTCTTCAGTTTGTCATTTCCAACATAATAGACCATATTACTGTTGAGTCCACAGTGGTCAATACTAGTTAGTGCCTTTCATATTCCTAAAGCCTGGGATTTCTATTTTCTAGCATTCCATCTCCTTTCTGACAACATCAAGTTTCCCTAGACTCATTGCTTGTACATTGCATGTTCTAGTTGTCAATGCATCTTCTCTTTTTGAATCATGACACACAGCAAAAGAAATTCTGAAGCCTTTTACTTCATCCATGTAATTAAGGTCAGCTCTTCCCCAGTTTTATTTTGACCTTTTCACCTGAAGTCTCATCTACTGGCGCTATTTCTGCCAACAAATAAATGTTCCACTACTGATCATAACAGGTTCCTTAGATAGTCTCTTCAGAAGTAGATCTTCATGTTTTTCTTAATCTGAGTTCAGCATACTGTCATCAAGACATAACCAACATTTAGCTGACTCTCCAACAGGTTTTCAGAGACTGTAAATCTCATGGAAAGAGAGTGTCTGTCTTTGTCCCTCAGAGAAGCTGGTGGATTCAAACTGCCTGCCTTTGGGTTGGCAGCACAACTCCTTACTCACTTGGCCACCAGAGCTCCTCTAAAATCTGTCCAGTATGGACGACCATACTGATACGGTGCTGACACCTGGCTTTTAGCATCACTATAGTATACAAACCAGCACAGTATAACAGACTGACAGGTGAGTGATATTAGTAAAAATTAAGATGTCCCATTTTAATGTCCACTGCAAATATTTGATAAATGATAGTACAAATGTTACATAACATGTCACCATCTGAGAAAATGCCTTGACAGTTAAAGAAATTTTTGTAATTGTCACTTTAAGCCACCTGAGACATTTAACATGGAAAAATTAAATCTGTCTTTTTTGGTAGACTTTTTATTCTTAAGTTTTTAGTAAAAAAGAAAATTCTTAAATGCACAGTTTTCACCCAGAATTTGTGCACAGTGCTAGCTTGGGTTATGAAATGTTGATGCTCCTAGGTTGCAAAGACGTACATCGTGTTTTCAGAACTGCCAAGGCCAAGCGCCTGCAAAGTCTGCAGCTTCTTCTCCTAACTTTTACTTCTGTCAGTCAGGGTAGAGATGGGAATTTCTCACGCGCACACACGTGCACACAGACACTACTCTGAAAGGCATATATCCATTCCTAGAAATGGAGTATTAATCCCACAAGGCAGTAGAAAATCCTTTTTCTAACTACCTCCAAGTTTACAAAATTTGACTTACGCAAAGGAATCAGGCTCCAGAATTCTGTAGCTGAGTTCTAAGGCTTTTCTTCCTACCTATGGCACCACTGTTTGCCTCAGATTTCCTGGGAGAAAGAAACTGATCTGTGACAGAGCCCATTCAGGTGGCTATGATGTCATAAAGAACCCTCCTGAGATTACAAAGTTAACCTTTGTAAAGACTAATATAATTTCTTACACCATCCTTTTCCATACATATTCCCACCAATTTTTAAAAAAATACCACCCATAAATCCTTCTTTCTACTCTTTACTTCCCCTCTCCCGCTCTTTTTCTTCTCTCTGTTCTTTCCCATATTTTCTCTCTCTGCTTCCTTCTTCATTTCTTGTCAGGTGTTGGTTTTCTTGGTTAATTCTTGTATTTAGACCTTCCATGTAAGATAGAATTAGCTGTACCCACCTTGTAAGCTATAACTTTTTCTCTGAAAGAACTGTACTCACCACATCAGCCTTCTCCATCACCGTCCCTGCCCTTCAAGGGGAAAGCAAAGTGTGCTGTGAGATAGAGCATCCAGCACAGCTGTGGGACTCGAGTTCACGTTTGCCCTGGGGTATTCACTTGGGCCTGTGCCTTCTCTTTTACTCCTGCTTTAACTTAAACACACACACACATACACGCTTTAACTTTAAAAGACAAGCAGACAAAAAAAACCCTAGAAAACCATAATCTTTTGTAATGCTCATATTTTCTTCTCCTTGCTTTCCTACCACCCCTTTCCCAAGAGAGTTGAGCCTGTGGTGAGATGAATTCCTGGGTCCTGAGCTCCCCTGTTTCTCTGCCTCTCCTGTGTCTCACATCCACTGGTTTCACATCTTGGCTTACAGACAGCAAGAAGAAATGCTTGCTATTCTTAGGAAGGCTCTACTGTCCCTGCTTTGTCTTCAGCTTGGATCCGAGCAAACCCGTGTCCTACAGACCTTATTGTAGAAGCGGACAGTACTCAGCTTACCCCACCATCCTGACCATTTTCTGGAAGTTTCCTAATGCTCCCATGTTGGTACTGTGTGACATCATCTCAAGACACACCAAGAAGAACAAATGCATTGCTTTTGAGTTGACTCCAGCTTGGACTGACATACTTCTATGACTC